TATATATATATATATATATATATATATATATATATTTAAATGTATATCTGAAACATTGTATACACCTGTGACCGCAGGAAACACACATGGGCTGCATTCCTTCTTTCACGTTGTTTTATTTTTTTTAATTTTGTCCATTTCATGTTTTCTTTCATGTAAAATTGAAATAATGATGATGCTCTGGTTAAGGGTATCTCTCGACATACGCTGTTATGGACAATAGGCTCAACGATATGTATGATGAAGAAATTCTTGCCAACGGTATGTGCTGCAATTAACCTGCGGTTTTTTTCAAATTCCCAAGACCATAAATTCTCAAATTATGCGCCTGCACTTGCAGAAAACCATAAACATCGTAAATATTTTATAAACTTTTATTTTTTCTTCTATTTTTTTTTTTTTTTTTTTTTTTTTTTTTTGTCACAGAATTTAAAAGGCGGTTATTATTAATATATACAGCAGCTGCAGCAATACATTGTTATGATCACATCATGCGACCAAAGTCATGCTCTCCATCCGACACGTATATCGAACGATATGTAACAAATAAAATAATACCCATGACACTTACATCTAAAAGAGACAATGATTTAACTAAATCGAAGGATCGCTGACATGATATATATTCGCTTTCCGCTTTTATTAAATGCAAAAATCCTTAAAAATACGGGGGGGTAGGGTTATGTACAAAATGGACTGCGCAGTAATTGTAAAAGCAAACTTTGCTAGAGAGAGATCTATCAGGGATTCAATAGAGCAAAGATCAGCAAACAGAAGAAGAAGAAGAACATTTTAAAAACTTTTTCGACTCCTTCAATTATATGGTTCGATAAATTTCATTCAACCTATTTACTGTATGTTGCTTGTTTTAGCCTTTCATTCATTGCAAATACCGCTGGGAATGGCTATCAATGCCAAGGCATTGCAATATGAATGCCAATGATGTAAATTTGCATATTTCTAACAATGCTAAATATTGGGAATATGTATGAGTTATGAGTCTTCTAATTTGCATGCCTGGATGTATGCGATGTTAATATAGCGCCTAGGTTTTAAGGCACAAGTCATCGCTATTTTTCAAGACATGGTCACATGGTCTGTCACAAACTTTAAATTGGATTTATTTGCAAGGCATCGATTTCTTATACCTTTAGCGAGTTTTGCCTTTCTCAACAACGGTAAACAGCAAGATTTTCGTAAATACTTTTTATGGAATAAGAAACATAGCTTAATTATTGATATTTTTTGCGAGCATAGAAATGATTTCAGGCAAAAACATTGTTATGTGTGTTTTTATGCAAACACGTTTTATATGCAACACCGAAGGACGACGGGCATATTTATTTTATCAAATCCGGGCTCGCAACGCACGGAATAATTTGCATCAAATTCTGAATCGATTTAGACATGTCTGTCTGTCCGTCTGCCCGTCTGTGTAATCTCTGTTATAAACATACTCCTGGCGGCAAAATTAAGCTATCAAGTTCAAATTTATTATATCCATCGGAAGTTCTTGCACCCATGTTGTTATCGAAAATGGCCGAAATCGTTCTACACACCGCCCTAAAAGTTTAACTTAAAGTGAGGATATCTATGTTTTTCGAAAGGAATAAAAAATTGGTTTTTTGCTGATTACATCTACATTGCATAAACTATAGCAGACAAATTCAAACACATATTCTATGTCATCAATATTATTGTACAAAAATGGATAAAGTAGATAAATTCTTGGCCAGTTTCAAATTTGGAATGCAATTAAGCGTGTCCGTCTGTTCGATTGTCCAACTATCGATCTACCCAGTAGTACGCAGTAGTACGTATGGTAAAGATTTTGCCGTTAGCGAAAATGAAGATATCGCCTACAAATTTGCAAAACAATTTTGAAGTGACTTAAACTATTCAAAGGGCAGACCTACAACGCCCGCATACTTATGCGACAAAAACATTTATTTTAATAATCGAAAAAATCAACTGCCATTTTGTAGAGCGTGAAAATTTCGTTCTTTTACTTCTTTTATCTTTTTTTAGGATAACGGTGTAGGTTTTAAAAGATTCGGTCACCGCTGAATGTAATTTTCTTACTTGTTAAGATTAAGTTCATTCCACTGAATCAAGATTCGTAGAATAGCGTAGGTTTTTCTTTACAATTCTTAGTAGTTGTGTTCACAAGCAACTTATATTTACATCATCCAATGATTCTTACGAATGTCACGATGTGCTTACATATCATTTTGAAAACAAGTCACCAATATCAGACTATATGTCAGATATAATTCTGAGATTTTTGTTGCTCCTTTTGCCTGTTGAGTGTTTTGGGAATTCTTGTTCATTTTTTCGACCAATCGCCAGTAATAAAAGGTTACTTTACTTTATGACATCGTCAGGTAAAAGCATCATGCATCAGTATTTTGTTTCCTAGAAAATCTACCAGTTTTCATGCTGTATCAAATGTGTGATTTTCATATAATAAACAATGAAAAACTCAGTTCTAAAGGACTTCCCAAAACAGAGTGAACAGTCGTTAGGCTTGACGCCATATATCATGTGTTGTCATCGAATTCTTTTTGATCTTGAGTATATAGAATTATGCGATCAATGTGCTCTTTATGGAAGAGGGTATTTTTTTTCAATTTATTTCGGAGAAAAGCTGTGCTGAAGGTCATCAACTAATTGAAAGTTAACTTTAAATATATTCTGCCTATAAATGTTTATATAGTTCTTGCTTGCGCACATTAAAGGACAAATTTTTTTTTCAAGTTTTCGTACACAACCTTCAAAGTCTGCTATAAAAGATACGATACACGAAACTGCATAAGTTTTTTGTTCTTCACACCTTTATGAACTAAACCGTTATCTTTTTGTAAACATTAAAGCGTTTCAATGCTTTACTACCTTCAGTAATAGTCACATTGACAATGTTTGATCAAATAACTTAATTTATTGCTTTTTTTATTAATAAGTAGCTTTGGCCGCTATGTCCTAATGTAGTTAGAAACTCCGGTTACCTTAGTGCGATCTGCATTGCGGTACAACTTTCCGGATTTTTTCATAAAAATACTGATAATTGCTTCCCCTAGTCAGAAAAGTTCTTAAGTCGGTCAAATGTGTCTTTTAATTGTCAACTGGACTGGCTTGTTTTTAGGCAAAGTATGCACTTATTCGTGTTCTTAAATCCCCACACGGCGGCGACTGAACAGAAAGTTGCCGGTTGAAAATCGAATTTTACATCTATTTAAGTTCATAAGACATACAAGTTTCGCGATGTTATACCATTCCACTCGGTTTTGTACTAGTTTAAAATCTGTTCAATCGATCATGCACTCTTCTGTTCTTCTGCAAAGCATATAGCAATGCAAACATTCACTTTGTCCTTCTTCCGGCTTCATAGAAGCGTTAGCTTGCAAACTCCTCCACAAAAATACAGGTAATATAAAAACAGCAATTCAGGCTGAATTCCTCCCAAGGTCACTTCTCTGCTCTAAGACTCAGTTGGGATAGGACACTGATGAAACAAATGCTTCCCTCAATTCATTACAATTCTACTTATTGCATAACTCACTCATACGTACATGTAGGCTTGTGGTTTTTGTTTCCCATCGTTAGCTAGTCATCGAATATCTGATATTAATATCTCTCATTAAACTCTAAAGGTCTTCTTAGGCATCTGAAGCTTTAAAAATTTATTTACGAGGGGAAGTTGTCGGGGATAGCTCTTTTCGCTTTACATCAAACTGATGCTCGCGGATTAAATGTTCAAAAAGTGTACACGTATAGCAGCCAGCAGCCCCACTTATTCGAATTCGAGAACAGCTAAATTCGAAAGCCTGTTTAGCGTCCTTCACTCACAACTGACAGAATTAATTTAGTTCAGTTGGAAAGATAACTTAACCTATCCTCACGATAAGCAAAGAACTCAGCCGCTACAGAGCCTAGTTGTCTCTCTTTATATTTATATAACCACCGTAAGGTTCTTAATCGGTTTACTTAAATCGATCACTGTTCCAACCACCTCAGACAAAGACAGATGGGAAGTGGAAATTAGGTGTAAATATTCTTTCAGATATCGTCGTCTAAAGCTCGCGTACTTATTGTCTTATTATTAGTAATACATTATATTACATCTGGGGGCGGTTTAAAAAGATGGGTTTAAATTTTCCAAATCGATCCCAACTTTCACTTTGTTACGTTGAAATTCGCATAGTTAAAGTCACCCCAAATCCTAAGTGTTATTATAGAAACTTATGTGTTTAGTTAGCGTTGAAAAATGTTGTGGGAATATTTATTCTAAACCATGCTCCCAAACTCCCATGCCATGCCGCCTTGGCTTGGCTTGCCTTGCCGTCACATGCACAAATATTATGTTATGGAATTTAGTTAAGTGGACATTAGAGTAGGTGTCGTATATTAATGCTTTTAGCCATGAATATATGTATGTGTGTGTGTTAGTCTATAAACTAAGCACATACTTATGTGCATGTTAAACAGTATGTAAACTTTTCTTGTCGAAATAATCCGGCAAACTCTGACGTACATTCTCTACTTAGCTCTAACTTGGGCAAATTAATGACCAGCTATAATGTACGAAAACACACTATCAACTTCTTCTTTTTTTTTGTACTTTTCATGCACATCAACCTGAATGTAATATGTATTTAATAAGTTTTCTTTCTTGTTTTTATTGCTCTTTTGCTTTTAGATTAACTCAGTAATACGCACGGCTGATAAATCGGTTTCGGCTGAAATAACTATTTTGGCAAATGTTACTGATAATCAGGCCCAATACCGCTGTGAGGCTGCAAATAGTGCCACTGAAATACCGTTATTTGAATCGACAACACTTAGTGTCCATTGTAAGTAGTTAATGTTGTTGTTTAATAAAATGACAAATGACTCTAAGAAATGCTCATCAGTTTAATGAACCAATTTTCATAGCTATGTAAATAATATTTTGTTGGCGTTTGCTCTTTTTGTTTTTTTTGTGAATTATTCTAGTTGCACCGGAGACAGTCAAGATACGCATTGAACCGGAAGAATTGAAACCCGGCATTGAGGCGACTATAATATGCGATTCCAGTTCGAGCAATCCACCTGCTAAGCTATCCTGGTGGAAAGATGGCATACCAATTGAGGGTAAGGGTGGTAGGGTCTTCTTCCTTCTATTTTCATCTATCTATTTTATATGTATATATATATATATATATATATATATATGTATAGACAACGCATATACGAACAAAGCAGCAGACAAACAAACTAGAAATTGTACTGCCAACTGAAAACTAACGATGATGCAACAAAGACGGTAATGGGACGTTAAAGGCTTTGGAAAGAGGTTTGTGTGGTAAAGCTGGAAAAGTGCCCAAATTATTGGGTTGTTTCGAGGATTTGCAATGTTGTCAGAAAGCCGGTGTGGCCACATGCCACAAGCATGTATTCATACATAAAGAGATACACATTCACTTGTTCATAGGGCATAGTGAATGGCGCCGGCCAAAACCAACGCCGCATACCAAACAAATTTTCATGTTGTTGTCTATAGACAAGCATACAGCGGCAGTGGCAGCGGCAGCGAAGTCAACAGCTCAGCTTAGTTCAGTCATCATTCTGGCCATGTTCGGGGTCGGTTTAGAATCTTGAGAAGCTTAGCTCCTAAAGATTTCTGCCACATTCTTTTGCTTACGTTAAAAGCACAAAATTGTAAAATATGTACTTTACACAAACTTCCGGTTTACTGACTCTTTACTGATGTTGCTGTTACGGTTGTAGTTGATGTTGCTATTGTCGTAGCTACGTATAGAGAAAGGCTCTTGCAATTACTATGAAAATGCTTTCACTTGTACGTTGATGTTGCTTTCCTCCCTCTTTACTGCTGCTCCGATTATTGTTATGTATATCTTGTGTACGATTCCGTTTTGCTAATATTTTATTTTTTTTTATTTTTTATTTTCTTATTTTATTTATGCATGTTTTACCAGGCATAAATAATACATCTAAGCCCGGTCTGTGGGGTGGCACTGTGTCTACGTTGGAATTCAAAGTAAACATCACACAGGAAATGAACGGCATAGTTTACACATGTCAAAGTGCCAACGAGGCATTGCAGCGCAGTGTGCATGAAGCCATAAGCCTGGATGTTCTATGTAAGTACTCAGGCAGCGTCACAGCAAGAGAAAGAGAAATAGGAATAGAGAAAGATAGATAGAGATAGACGTGGAGTAAGAGAGAGATAGAGAGAGAGAGACAGAGAGAGAGAGAGAGTGAGAAAGAAAGAAAGAGAGTAAGCACTCACGTTTGGGAAATAGAGCAGAACATGTAAACACGGTGATGCATGATGTTTCAACATCTCATACTTATCCTTCTTTCCGTCTTTCTGTCATATATAAGCACATTTGTATTTATTTATATACAGATCGTCCCAAATTTGTGCCACCACCCTCATCGACGGCGGTGGGCGTTGAAAATGAATCGTTAATGGTTGCACTGCAGGCGAACGCGAATCCTATATCAATTATCTACACCTGGTCAAAAGACGGTCAGTCTATAGCCGACGGTAATAATGAAGTTGAACATCGTATATTTAGTGATGGGCCGAAGTTGAATTTCACCAAACTGCATCGGAATGACGCTGGCGTCTACGTATGCGAGGCACGCAATTCTCAAGGCTCGGCCAGTATCAATGTTACCGTAGTAGTGGAATGTAAGTATTAAACTCATTCGTGTATGTAGAATTATTTGAGACGACAACAATTTGATGTAATTATTGTACGTAGACGGTACCAATATTAAAACTGTATCAGAAAATGTGATAGTGAATCCGGGAGAAGATGCCATGTTGTCATGTACCGTAGAGGGTAAACCGCTTAACGAAGAGCACGTTAAATGGGAACGTCTCGGCTATGACATGACTATTAAAACGTCAAGCACATTCGCTAACGGCACCTCATATTTGCACATCAAAGACTCTCAACGCGAAGATGTTGGCAATTTTCGTTGTATTGCTGACAATCGAGTCGCCAATCCCACTAGTCGGGATGTTCTGCTGATAGTGAAGTGTGAGTGTGACAACGATTGAAGAAAAGTGTGTATTTAATAACACAGAGTTCACGTTTAAATAGTTGCTCCGGAAATTGATAAATCTCCAACATTGCTAAGGGCAGCCAGTGGGACGGGTGAGAGGGGACGTCTGCCTTGCCGTGCCCAAGCATCTCCCAGACCAAAGTTTGTGTGGCGCCAAGAAGGCAAAGATTTGCCTGTCAATCGCACCTACAAATACGAAGTGGAAGAGAAAAAAGTTGATTCACTAACTTATGAATCTATTTTAATTATTGAGAAGGTGGCACCGGCTGACTATGGTGCTTACGAGTGCTTGGCAAAAAATGAATTGGGTCATGCCGTCGAAACTGTACGTTTAGATATTACCTCACAACCAGACAGCCCCCTTAGCCTGAATATATTAAATGTAACGCATGATTCGGTGACAGTAGCCTGGACGCCAGGCTTTGATGGTGGCCTGAAAGCATCGTACAGGGTACGCTACAGGTAATTGTCCTTTAAAGCTAAATAACAATTTTGGGAACTGAGGCGCATTTATTAAAAAAAACCACAAGCTATCAAAGGCAAGAGTATTAAATTTTTGTCTTCCTTTTTAACTTTTTTTTTTTTTGGTTTCTTTACTGCTGTCACCCTCAATAGAGAAGCCAATCGTGAACAGTATAAATATATCGATAGTCTGCCAAATAGTCATAAACTTACCATAACTGGCCTCAAAATGAACACGTTATACCTATTCTCGGTTATGGCTTACAATGATTTAGGTGAAAGCAAATATCTACCGGACTTGCAAAAGGCTCACACCAAAGGTAAGTGTAATGCATAGTAAAGCAAGCACTTCGCTAACCTATCCAAGCAGCCATCCATTTCATTTATTCTCCCTTTGGTCGCATGCATTTGCATAGCCCAACTCAATTAACTTGTTAAACCAAGAGAGCCATGCATATGAAAGCAAAGTGCACAAATTAGCTACTTTTCCCCCCTTTTCGTATTGGAAGAGGTGTTGTTGACAGAAAAACGGGATAGCAGTGATGGTGGTAACGATGGTTATGATGGTGGTGGTAACGACGTCGGAGTACATTGATTTATTGGTCGCGTCATCTGCATTTAATGGGCTCTGTACAGTTAGTTGCCTCTAACGCCAATACCACTATCACCGTCATCATCAGCATCGCTATCACCGTCACGTAGTCTGCTATACCCACCATTAAAATGGCATATATATATACATATATATATATATATATATATATATGTGTGTACTGTTTTGTAATTTTTTTTTCCTTACCCAACTATTGTCAAGCCAGCGCAGCTTATGGAAGGTTATTCAACATTATTTAATGAAAATTGTCTTCTTCTTCTTCTTGTTTTTTTTTTTTTTTTTCTTTTTCTTCTCCTTGTTTTTCTTCTTACCATTTCATATCTTTTTTTCGACCGCTTTCTTATTCCTATTCCTCTTTTAATCATAATAATATGCATACGATAGAAGCGCCACCACCCTCGCAGCCGGCCTCTTCACTGGGTGGACCACCCACGACGAGTGCCACTCCGTTGGGTGGAACATCGGGCACTTTGCTGCTGGTCGGCGTTGCATCTGGTGTCAGTATAGTGCTATTAAACGTTTTCGTCATCGGTTGCTGTCTGCACAAACGTAACCAGAAACGTCTTAAACGAGGTACTGTACCATAAATAGCAAAAAAAAAAAAAAAAAAGAAGTTAATTAATTTGAATTTAATTAAAAAAAGAAAAAAGAAAAGAAAAAGAACGAGAACGAGAACGCGTCTACAATCTCTATGATAGAGGTGAACATATTATACAGCTGAAGTTGTCTGCATTGTTTAAATTTAATTTTTACTTATTTATGAAGTTTTTAAAATGAAATATTTTTAGAAAAAATTGCAAGGAAAGTATATCTTGTTTTGTTTTTGTTAAAGGATTTCTTCTCTCTCGGTCGTTACTTTTAAAGTAAAGAATTCGTGAATTCTTAAAGCTATCATGGCTTTAAATATTCTGATGGTATTCTAATGAGTTTCATATGCTTAGTTTATATAGTGTTTATGTGAGGGAAAACTTATTTGTGTGAATGTATTTTTGTATGCATATCGTTATCCACGCCAGCATCTGCATCATTATCGTCAGTATTAAAATTTAACAAAAATCATGCAAAAAAGAAGACAAAGCAGAATTTTGTTTCTTTGATTTTCCTCTGAGAAAATATAATCTAGTTTTTCAGACTTTCTCCATATCACGCCATCTCTCTTCAACACTTGCGTTCTTCTCACTTTGCTTATGTTCCTCTGGTGCATTTAGTGCTCTTTGTTTCGTTTCGTCAACTGAATGAACATCTGCTTTTTCTGTGGTGTTCATTCGTTGCTTTCATTCTTCATTTTTGTACATATTTTTTTTTTTTTTTTTTTTATCATACTCTACATTTCTACAAATATTTTTCTTTATTTTCCAATCCCTCCTGTAAATCATGTCTTGCTTTTTCCCCCACCAACCACCTATATAGCAGACGAACTTTTTTTTTTGATTTCTATTTTTTTTTTTTCTTATATTTTTTTTTTTTTTTTTTTTTTTTTTTTTTTTTTGCTTTTTTTCTTTCTTTTTTGTCCTTGTTTTATTATTATCATTATATGTACCACGGCGACCATCATCGCCATCACCACTACTGCTGCTACGACGTCTGGATGTATGTCGTATGTATTATGTTTCCTCTTTTTGTTTTTTGTGGACTTACGGTTGCATCATATTGCCGTCACTATTGCTATTTTTGTTGCTGCTGCTGCCGCTGATGCTGGCGCTGTTGTTGTGTTGTTCTTGTTACCATTATGGAAATTCCCAAAGAAGGACTCGAATTGCTACCAGCTGAATTAACAGAAAGTTCGACTATACCAAATCTGGTTATAATTGGCACTTCACTGGCGGCTTTTGGTTTCCTATTGGTTAATGCCGCTTTAGTTTGGTTTTTTGTTCGACACAGACGCAAAAAAGGTTAGTCTTTTTTCCTATTTTTTTTTTTTTTTTTTTTTTTTTTTTTTTTTTAAATCCTAAAACTTTTATTTATTTATTTATTTATATCTTTATTTATGAAGATTTTTAACGCCATATGTTTATTCATAATATTAGCGTTAAGTGTTTTGGTTTCGCGAAAGAAAATGGAAAAAATTCTAAACCAAAGATAGATTTCAATTTCTAGTACTCGTCTGCTTGCGTAGATATGTGTGTGATTCCATTATTGGAAACTTGAATTTAGGTTGGCATTTGGAGAGAATCTCCATGATGTGGATCATACGGAGCCCTTGTACCTTATCACATATGAGAAGATTTTCATTTGATTAATTTTGCTTTTGGTGATAGGTGCGATTTAATCGATTAAAAATTAGCCAAAGAAGAGCTACAGAATACCTCCCACCAGAATGCTATTCCATCTCAATCACAACGCATCATCATTATTTGTATGTTTATTGTTATAAAGTGAAAAATCGCCCATTAGTTTAAACTGTTAATCAAAGAAAGTATACTGAGCAGCTTCTTCATCCTCATGTTCTTTTTTGAAGGAAGTTGAAACCGCATCTTGTCGCTATATTACTTACTCACTTACTGACCCTTTTACTATTCATCAAAACACTATAAGGAGATTTAACCTTAGTTTAGATGTCAAACCATAATCAACGTTTGAACCAAGTTTCACGATAAAATGCTGATAACTAGGCCTTGTTGGCACATAATTTTTTCAGTTGTGCTCTGCAAGAAGACTATTTGGAGAAAAGGTTAAAAAAAACAGGTTCTATCCCAACGAAATTTTCCACATTTATATAGTTTGCCGACGAACTAATTTTGGGCAACATGAAAAGTGGTAAAGTACACACACAACACTTTTTCACAACATAGTCCCATTCGATCGTTATCCCGTACATGTCCATTTTTTTTTTTGACCAGTATCTTTCGTGGGTATATAACCCGGTTGATAGCCAAACATAAAGAAACATGAAGATGGATAGGATGCGACTGCAGTTACGTGTTATACTTTTATTAATCGATTACCTGAGATGCAGCCACATGGTGGCGAAAATTAAATTCGGGCCTCTTATCTACCAGACTCTGCAACAGCCCATATGGCGCATAGGTTCAAATCGATCATTCTAAGCGATTTCATACGAATAATCGCGAAAATTGCAGCAATGAGAATTGAATGCAAAAGCACTTAGAACTATCGTGTAGAGTCGCGACCCGATAGAACTTACTTGTTCGTAGCTACGATGAGTGCTCAGCTGACACACAAATTTCTATTGATCACGCTCTCACTAGGCTTCGCGCATCCATCCCATCCCTTTCTTTTTTAACAATCGCCCTGATTCGCCTATAGGGTGAGCCCTCTGGGAAGGAATTGGGAGACTCGGGCGTAAACAACAGATAGACAAATACACGAACAGGCTTAAGTCACTTCTGAAAGTTATTCTAATGAATCTATCTAATGGATCTATCTAATGGATCTATCTCAAGCACTCGCATCTGTGGCATATGTCATACTAGTTTAGTGTATAATTAAAGAAGGCGTCGAAACTTTTAAAAAAGGTTTCTCATTTTTACTATGAAATATTTTATTTATTTTATATTATGAATAGCAATCACTCTTTTAAGGTGTTCCGTGGCCATTGCGATCTATAAACCCTGACATTTAACATAACCCAACTTTTTGCAGAGCGAAGGGCTTAATCCTTTTTAAATTTACTGATATATGGCAATCGTTGATATGCAAACTTCACAATTGCTGACTTTAGACAAGTAAGACCATTATAGTTAGGCAAGGCTGACCATTATATACCATCCACCACATTGTCTCGCACAATTCTTGTTTTTATTATAGACCACAAAAATTATATCTCGTTTCTAAAGGCATACATTTCATGTGTGTATTTATAGGGAAACGGGCCCAAGACGCAACCTGTGTACTACAAGGTTAATTCTCACATAGGGCAGAATCCAAAAATAGGAGTCCATGCTCCAATCTTCGTAGAGTTCAATTTTGTATGAAATTACTATAATATTACGAGCCACTTGTGAAAACTTGAACTTTCCTGCTCTACAAAGTGTCAATTTTTGTGAAAATCTTTATTGAGGTAGGATCTACGAAATCGGCCGAGGTGATTCAAAATTCGTGCAGATGACTTTTTAATGTTAAATTACTATCATGATATAATTTTCGTCATGAAACATTGAAAATTATATGTTTTTGTCGTGTGAACTTCACCTTTCGCCATTTAAGAGAATGTTCAACAATTGCCTCAGCCAGCCGGTCCAAAGTTTACATACTAATTTAAAATGCCCAATAACTACTACTTAGCCACTTTTGCTGAAAAATTCTGAGAATTACATATAAAGGATTTTTTGAATAAGACGCTATATGGGGAGTGGCCGAAAAAGTGCACGGATCCGAACCATTTTCAGTAGCATTCGTCCTTGGGTTGAAATATGTCACTGTACCAAATTTCATCAAAATATCTCAAAAATTGCTACCTGAAGCTTGAGCACAAATATACATGGGCAGACATCAGACGTATAGACAGACTTAGATCAATTCAAATTATGATTCTGAATAGATCGGCATAATAAATGGTGGATCCTTGTGCGTGTTACATACGTTCGCATTAAATTAATATATCCTGTATGTACCACAAGTGGGGTAGGATATAATGAATAGGCAGACCTACGGCAAAATGGCTAAAGTAATTCACAAAGTCCAACTAATCAAGAATATGTTTGCATACGATACTATTATTATTATTCATACTTTAATGAGGTACACAAACCGGCAAAATTCTACAATATATTCAAGTTGTTTGTGTAAAAGAGAAAATTGTATAGGTTTCGTCCAATGAGTCTCTACCTACGGTAGACGCAAGCAATGTACAAATATTTTTATGCCGAAATGTTTCATGATTTTGAAGAGAGTACACGTCACTTAATAAACGCTAAACTTCTCTGAAATTTTTTGCAAATGCCATAATCCGGAAATTAAACATCCTTCACATAACATAAGTTAACAAACAGTCAGCTAACAATAAATATAAAGCGAAAAAAAAAAAGAAAGAAAGACAGCAAAAAGAAAGGCAAAGTAAACAAGACCAACATTTGAAAAAACGACCAGCTAGCTACCTACACGAATGAATGAAATCAAGTATGCGAACCTATGCCAGCATACAACTGTACACGTTATGAAACTTTTCAACCAACAAAACTGTAAATATAAACACATTTATTACATATTTATGTGTATCATAATATAAACTATTATTTACTATGCATGCCAATGCCTTCTCTGCTCACTGCAAACGAACTGACACAAATTTATTTAGAACTAACTGACTGCAAGTCTATCTAAATGCTATACGTGCATTTCGATGTGAGTGCATATACGCTTGTGTGTTTATGTATATATGTGTGTGTGTGGTGTAGCTCATAAAGAAGATATATATATATATATGTATATGTATATACACAAGTGTACTAATATCACTATTTAGGACATCATTTTCGTGACAGCGCAGTCCAGCAATAGCAACAACTTTCACGATCATGTTGCTCTCCTCCAAGAAGTCAATAAGGAATACATTAGCATCATATGGGAATTGGGTGAAAACGAATTGAGAATGATTGCAAATTATTACGAAGATTTGTTCTTCTTCTTCCCCTTTAAGATTATATGTTCACGGACATTGTAAAGCATTTTCAAACTTAAGCGCTACCTTTCAAATTGAAACCAAAACCGCGTAAAATTCCTAACTGTCTGAGTAATATTTATATCTTTACCTACTCTCTCATCGTCGTATTCAAAAATTCTAACCATTTTCGTCTTTTGCATATATATTCCCGATTATCGCTATAGAGGAATATCACGAAAAAAAAAAAACAACCACTAAAGAAAAATTCTTGCAAGAAAGTGAAAGAAAGAATTTGTAGAAAACGTAAAAAACGCTGGTAAAATGACAACTGGCTCACCGCACACATAAAATGTTGTCCCATAACACCGTGACGGCTCACCATGCAAGCATTGCTATACACACACAAACACACACACTAATTTACATCTTCTTACATATGTATGTTTATGGAGGAAAAGAAAAAAAAGCAGCCAGCAAACGTACTCTAAATAGTAGTAGTAGTAGTAGTAGTAGTAGTAGTAGTAGTAGCGGCAGCAATAGTTGTAAATAAAAAGTGTTTAGGTATTTGCAGCGTATATGCTACAGACTTACCGCAATACGGGAAGCTGGTTGCCGCTTTGAAAGTTTGTCCAGGTTGTTGTTATTTATGCATATAAATACAATACTATATACGTGAGCGTGCGTTCATAGAGCTATATAAATATATATGTATATATGTATGCAATGCCTAGGTATAGTTACTATAATCCTTTGCGAAGGCTGCAAGAGGAAAACTGCCAACGAAGCTTTTTGTGGCTCTCAGAAGCCTAGGCTCAGCGATTATGTGGTGATGTGGTGAGTACTCAAAGTGGTTTATATGTTCATACATATGTAAAGATATATGTATATATATATACATTTATATATATGCATACATGTTTATATATATATATATATATATATATATATATGTTTATATAGGTTCATACCATATCTACCGCTACTTACTTGCCACGTTGCTATTGTCGTGGCTAGATTACCATTTTTCACTTATGTCATCATCTCCCAAACACAAAATACATTTAGTCCACACAAAAGGAATTTAATCTTCTTCCTACAATACTCTTACTGTCGTTTATTTTTGTTGTTGCATGCATTCATATACAAGCATTTTCAAACAAATTTGTACTATTTCTCTTCTCTTCTCCTTTTTGCAATGAAAATGATGAAAAACTTGAACAAAAAACAAAAAACAAAAAAATATCATAATCGTCTACTGCGTCTTTAGGCAGGAAAAGAGAAAGCAATAGAGATTACGCTTGACTTGAATATTCCCTTTATAACTAACTA